ACTCGCATTACCGGTTCGTCGTCGCACGAAGGCCTGCTGTGTGGATGTCTGAGCACGTTGTCCAAACGTAGTAAAAGGTATAAAGCGTCCCGACGTTGGGCTGAGAAGCAGCTGGATATCGCCCTGAAGCTCGGCGATCGTCTGATGGAGGCGGACGCATGTTCCGCTCTTGGCGACGTCGAATTCGAGGTCAGGCGTTTCGGTAACGCGGCAAAACTCTACCAGAAAAGATTGGAGTTGGTCAGCAGCGGTGGGTGCCCAATAAAACATGACGGCACTATGCTGCAGGCCCTTCATCGCCTCGGTACTTGCCACTACTTGAACGGCAGCTACGATGAGGCATTGAGCACATATCGATCGGCGCTGCGCCTCGCAGAGGAATCCGAATCCGGCTCTAACGAACGGTCATTAGTGTGCATGCTGCACGCTGACCTGGCGTTCTGCCTTTTGTCGCTGTCGCGCAGCGCTGATGCCGTGAAGCATATGTCACTTCACTGGACGTTGTCCAGGGACACCGTGAATAGCAAGGTTCGCTCGATGGCCTTCAAAAACGTCGGTCGCTACTACGCCAAATGTGGCGAGTACAAGAAGTGCATAGAGTACATGGAAAAGTACTTGATGATCGTGCAAGAAGAGAACGAGCTAAGCGAAGAGTTGGAGAGTTGTCTGATATTGGGCGACGCACATCGAAAGCTGGCCTGTTACCTTGAGGCGGTTCGATTTTACAACCAGGCGTTGACGATGGCCAAAGATACTTCAAATTACACCGTGTTGGCCAATGCCTATCGAAGCCTAGCCGTGTCCAAGATGAAATTACACGAGTTTAACGACGCGATGGAGTGCGCCAAGTACTTTCTGGCTATCGCCCATATCCTTGGCAATGCTGAGTCGAAGTGCGACGCACTGCTGACCATAAGCGAAATACTCTTGTTGACCGGCAAGCCCAAGGCATCGCTGAAGGTGATTGGCAAAGCGATGAACTTGATTATCGCTGCTTCATTGAACCATCTCCAGCGCAAGACATTGGGTCTTTTGGGCTTGAACTATTTGACGCTTGAGAAATACCGTGAAGCGATGTCTGTGTTCTGGCAGGAGAAGGCACTGGCGGAACAGACGAAAAACAGCGACGACCTTTGTTCGGTTTGTGAGCACCTCGGCGCCTATTTCCGTGCTCAGAACCAGGTGGATCAAGCACTACAGGAATATAGGAAACAGGCCTCGATCGCCAAGGCGACGAACAACCTCGAGAAGCAGCTGGACGCCTGGTGGAACATGGCTGAAACTCAAATACGTGCTAAAAACCTGGATGAGGCTAGACGTTGCTTCCAGAGACACGCTGACCTGATGATTTTGTGCGGTGGCGGCGATCGATCGTTCACTGCAGTCAGGAAAGCATTGTTGAAAGTCGCTGATCTCCTTGAACGACAGAAACGCTGGCTGTCTTCCGCCAAGTGTTATGAGCGGTTGCTCAGCTTACCGTTAGGCGACGATGCCGAAGAACGGACCATGGCACCAGTGCTACGAGTCCGTCTAGGTTGGATGATGGTTAGGCTGCTGCGTTTCGAAAGGGCTCGCACCGAGTTCCTCAGCTGCCTCAAACAAAATTCGACCGCTGCCGTGTCCGCCAACGAGTCACTCGCCGTACGCTTGTACCAGGGCCTTGCTTATTGTGAGGCAGCACTGGGTGACACCAAGTCGTCTCTAGCTCGCCTGACCACCTTGCTGACCGACT